GATCTTTATCCCCATACTTACCTACGGTCATGAATCGTGGACCGTCACTGAAAAACTTCGAACCCGGGTAGAAGCTTCTGAAATGGGCTTTCTTAGACGAGTCGGTGGCCTTACGCGTCTCGACATGGTCCGGAACAGTGACATCCGGAAGAGCCTTGGAATACAACCTTTGCTTCTCCGGATCGAGAAGTCACAGCTGCGATGGCTTGGGCATGTGTTGTGAATGCCTCCAGAAAGGAATGCTAAGCAACTGTTCCTTGCCAAACTGACCGGCAGAAGGCCCATGGGACAGCCAATATTAACCACGTGCAAATATATGGAAGGAGTCTGTTCCAGACTCCATTTGTCTTTTGCCGAAGCTCAGAGTGTGGCACAGGATCGAGAAAGTTGAAAGCTCTGTCTCACGTGTCTGCCTCGCGATGAAGATGAAGATGAAATACAAAATCCAAAGCAAGGAAGACTTCTCGATCCATCAAAACCTACGGCAGTTCTCTCTCTCAGACTCGAACGACAGTAGCCATTGTGGCAGCAATCTGTCACCTAACGGTATCATCCTTTTACGTTAACAAAGAACAGAGAAAAACGTGACACAATTTCGACCTTCATAAATTTGAAATTCGACCTTCGACACAATTTCGACTTTCATAAAAGGCCTTCATAAATCACAAATTGTTTATTAACGAGGTAGCTAATCGGGCAAATCGATTCCCTATGTCTAAGTGAATCTACAACTCAATATGAAGATAATATTTCGAATCTGACAGAAGATTTGGGATGTGTATGTATTTCCAAACAGAGAAAGATGGAATTTTCTTCTAACATAACCAATTTTCTTAACAAATATCGAACAGAGAATTCCTAATAAACAAGAAATAAATGCAGATGGAGACAAAAAGTATCTAATGTATCCATTATTCTTCCTGCAAAACGATGCATCACAGACCAATAAGTTATATCTCACTATTACGCTACAGTTGTCAAAGAATTAACAAATTTTCAAGTAACTCCTACGATTCTGAAGTTGCCCCTGAGAAATAGTTTAATAGTTTTCCCTTTATGTAATCACGTTGTATTCATAGTGCCAACATGCAATTAAGCTGTTATAAGTGATTGCCTATTATAATCGAACCAATTGAATAAATTCTTTCAATCTATTAGTGGACATAATCTTTCACACGCCTTGGCGCATTGGCGTAATGTCTACAAGGTCTGCCTTGAACTTTGAAAGTGCTGGGTTCAATTCAGTTTGAGGGTAACCTTTGCCTTATTCACGAATTCCCTTCAGCAAGGAACTTACGGTGCATTTCTTCAACTCGGGGTTGCTCTGTCGGTAAAGTGTCGAACTCAGAACCTACAGGCCTGGAGTTAGAGCATCGGGTGAAGTGACTCGCCTTCTTCCTTAGGAGGTTAATAAAAGTGTAGCACTATGGGGGAAGTAAACATACTATGCTTGAAATGGCTGCAGACTCTGCCTTTGAAATGAGGCAATCCTGGCTGATGGCATAGAAACGGCGATCAGTACCGCACCACAAACCTCATGAAATGAAGGGTGCAGTAATGACCCAATGATGAAAGTGAGGAATGACTGATATTCCAATGGTGAAAAACTTTCCTCTCCACACGCTAAGCATTGGTAGCTAATTCTGGCAAACGTTAATAGTCATTTAAACCTTGAAGGAGGCAACAAAAAGCCTCTTGAAATGTGCGATAAATAGTTACCATCGACTGCAGACACTAATATGTGAATTCTGAGAAAACACTAACTTCATGCGTTTGAAAAGTCGCATCTGTACGAATCAATTTGTGAGCCTTTTTATTTG